CTGCACATAATATGAAAATGGCACAAGTGCTAACCTGTTTTATCATAATCAGAGAGAAAAACATAATCCAGCAGAAGTATCATTCACAGTGTAAGGGGAAACATTTCATGGGACATAAATAAGTAAGCAGTTGATGTATACAAAGGCAACAAATTAGGTACTGAGGGATCATCCTCAAAGAAGCTCTGCTATTCTGAAATTTAAAACTATCATTTTTTCAACCCTTATCTATGTATCTATGTATTTATCTAGGTTTTTTTGTTTGTTTGTTTATTTTTGTCTTTCTGCTGGGGACTGAATCCAGGACATGCTTAGTATACACTGAGCTCTACTCTAGGCCCTTAAACCTGTACATTTTATGTAATGAAACAAGATGTACACCATAAAATCTCTTGCAATAAAAAGCATAAGTTCACAAGGAAATTTATGCAAAGAACACACTCTCTGATTATGGTAAAACAGGCTGGCACTTTCTTTTTAGCTTCCCAGCTATAGAAATATCCTATTGGCTTTCTGAAAAACAGCATAAACTTTAGTTGACAAGTGAAATACCACCCTCTTACTTTCTTTTTCCCTATTAACTCACTTTTTGAGATAGGGTCTCACTATGATTTTTTTTTTTTTTTTCTTTTTGAGAAAGGGTTTTGTGCAGTTCAGGCTGGCCTTGAACTTACTTTGTAGCTCAGGCTGGCTTCAAACTTGCAACAATTTTCCTGCCTCAGCCCGCTGAGTGCTAGGATTACAGGTGTTCCATTAACTCTTTTTTTTTCTTTTCTGTACTGGGGATTGAACTCATGACCTCACGCTTCCCAGGCAGATGCTTATGCCGCAGAGCTAAATCCCCAGTCCTTCCATTAACTCTTAATATTTGACATATTTATCATCCTTCTATCTCTAGAATGTAAGCTCCATGAGGGAAAATACTCAAGTATTTTGTTCACAGATACAGCCTCATTATCTAGAAATATAGTTAACATATAGTAAATTCTTGAAAAAAACCATAAAATTAATAAGTATTAAAAAGACCTCTATGGGCTGGGTATATAGCTCAGCAGCGTAAATGCCTGCCTGGCAAGTACAAGGTCCTGAGTTAGATTCCTGCTACCAAAAATAAAAATTAAAAAAAGACTTCTACATTAGAATTATTCTAAAACTTTGGCATATCTGTATATGTGTACATATGTTTGAATAAATTTACAGACCTTGGTACCTCTGTGGCATAGTGCTCTATGTAGATCATGATGAAACAAAAGATCAGAAGCTTGTGTGAGGAGATAAGAAGACTGATTGTAAAACAGTATGGGAGGTCTAGGCAAGAGGAATGTCACAAATCTGAGGTCAGTCTGGGCTAAGTAGTGAGCTCAAGGCCAGCCTGAACTACACATCTAGACCTTGTCTCAAACAAAACTAAAACCAAAAGCATGCTATGAAATGGAGTGAAGGAATCAAGCACTGTTAGCCAATAGTTTATTTTTTATTTTTGAGACCATGTTTTGCTATGAGTTGACCTTGAACTCACTATGTAATCAAGGCTGACTCTTGAGTTTGTGGCAATTCTCCTGCCTCAGCCTCTGGAGTGGTGGGATTATAGATATGTGAGACCACACTTGGCTTAACCAGTAATTTTATTTTTTACTGTATTTTATTTTTACTGGTACCAGGGATCGAATTCACAACCACGCGCTTGCAAGGCAGGCGCTTATGCTGCTGAGCTAAATCCCCAGCCCCTAACCAATAATTTTAAAGAGTGAATTAAATATGTCTATCCTTTCATACCTGAAATTTGGTTGTTATAAATTCAAATTCACATCATATTAGTTAGATTCACCTTAGTTTTCTACTTTGTCTTTTTTGGTTTGTTTGTTTGTTTTTTGGTACTGTGGATGGAACTCAGGACCTTGCACTTGCCAGGTGCTTGTGTCACTGAGCTAAACCCCTGGCCCTAGCTTTCAACTTTGATAAAGCCTTTAAAATTTATTTAGTAGGCTGAGTGTGGTGGTAGACAGCTGTAACCTCAGCACTCAAGAGGCTGCGGCAGGAGGATCACTGCAAGTTTGAGGCCAGCTTAGGTCACGAAGTAAGTTCAAGGCCAGCCTGAACTGCATAGTGAAACCCTGTCTTAAAAAGACAAACAAAACAAGACAATAAAAAACAAAACAGAAAAGACTTATTTAGTAATGTTCTTTTTTTTTTTTTTCTCTCTCCCTAAATTATTGTCTTCTGGCCTGAAACAGTCTCTCAATTCTATTTTGTAGTTTAAAATTTTTAAAAATTTTTATTGGTCCATGTTTGCAATGCACAATGATTACATTCATTATGAGATGGTACATATACATAACACATCTTAATTCTTTTTAAGATCTCCTTTCCCTCCCCTCACTCCCCCTCTCATTTCTATTTTTGGGATTTGCCTGAGTCACAAGGTAGTCTTGGCAAATCATGCTGCTCTATCTTCCACTTTAGAGGCTGCCTGGGAATTTCTACTGTCAGCCAAATGAGAACAGGGCCTTTCTGCCTAACTCCAAAAGGTGTAAGTCATGGATGTGGTGAGGTTCAGTGATACATATAAATCACTGTAAATGGATTTCCCTCAGGGTGGGAGGGAAAAAAAATAAAATATTTCATCCTTCCTTTGTATGAATTCAGGGCTGGGAAAAAACAGCAGATTATTACAATATTAGAGAACAATGTACTCAATGTTTGCATAGCATGGTTTTTTTTTTTTTTTTTTTTTAAGACAGGGTCTCCCAGAGCTTGGGGAATCTAGGACTTGAAAAGCACAGGGTTTTTTTTTGGAAAAGCTGAATCCTGGAAATAGCCCCATGCCGATCAGCTGCCCAATGGCTGAAGGAGATGTGGGCTTTTACACCGTGGGGTGCTGTTCTGACATAAAGATCAGCATTTCTACCTAAATGGATGCACCTCAAGAGACCACACTCTCAAGTGAAATAAATCTGACACACGTGTGTAAATACCACACTTTCTCGGATGTGAGAAACCAAAAGTGTAAATAAGGGCCAAAATGCATACTAGATATTGTGAAATAGGAAGAAAATATTCAGGTGGGAAGGGGAACTAGGAAGGGGGGGGGAAGGGGAAAGAAAAAAGGAGAAAGGAAAAATGGAGACAAAGCTTTTGTAAATAAGAAGAGAGGTTAAGGGGGAGGAGAATGGGGAAAACACATCAAGTTACCTCATGTACAGGTATAAATTCCCTATCAGGTGTGTGATCATTACGTATACCTAAAATGTACCAACAAACTTAATAAAAAAAAAAAAAAAGACAGGGTCTCCCTATGTGGTTTGGGCTGGCATCAAACTATATAGCACAGACTGGCCTTAAACTCACAGTAATCCTCCTGCCTCAGTCTCCTGAGGGCTGGGATTACTGCTATGTCCCACCATGCTCAGTTTACATATAATACATTTTCAACTAAAGATACTACTGTACATAACACCTCAAGAAGAAAAAAAAAAAAAAAAACCCAAATGTGACTGATCTCATTCTGGCAAAACTATACTGTTTAAATTTTAAAAAGCAGCCAGTTGTGGCACATTCCTGTAATCTCAGCACTAAGGGAGGCTGAGGCAGGAAGATAGCAGTTTGAGTCCTGCCTGGGTAATTTTATGAAACTGTATCTCAAAATAAAAATAACAAAAATGACTGGAGATGTAGGTCAGTGGTAGAGGACTTTGGGGTCTAACCCCCGGTATCATACACACACACATCAGTGTTTATAAACATGAATAAACCATAAAACCCCTTCTTTATCAAGACTAGGCATAGAGCTAGGTGTGGTGGCATACACCCATGATCTTGATATAAAGGAATGAAACTCCCAACCTACTATATCCGGTATGAGTTTGTGTTCTCTAAAATCAAAGAATGAATTTTAGGAACAATGGAGATGAAGAGCAGAATATATTTACTGAGAAAAAGAAAGCTTCTGTCTGAGAAAGACAGAAGGGGTCCTGAGTGGGTTGCCAGGGACTCTTTCCCAGAAACTTTTATAGGGTAAAACTGTGGGGTGAGGGCTGGGGATTTAGCTCAGCGGTATAAACACCTGCCTTGCAAGCAGGCGGTCGTGGGTTCGATCCCTGGTACCGATAGAAAAAAGAAAAAAAAGTGTAAAAAAAAAAAACCTGTGGGGTGAGACAGGTTCAAGGTGTGGAAAACTGGCAACTCACAAGGCAGATGGGCATAAAGTGGGACAAAACTATGGTTAACCAGTAAGATTAATAGTTCAGGTGAAATTGGTTACATTAGGGACAAATGGGGAAGCAAGTCGCATAGAAAGCGGGCATTCTTAGAGAGCAGTGACTCTTCTTTAAGGGGTTGGGAAGGTGGCTTCTGACTTCCTCAGGGTGATAGGGAACTGTTTAGAATATCAGTCCTTAGGATATGGATGCATTTGTTTGATTTTTTGTCTTGAGGCCTTGGCCCACAACAGGAGGTGTCTGTCTCCCCTATAGTTGCAAGGTATCTGGGCTTCTGCACTGGCTCCTTTTGAGGACCTAGCCCTGTCTCACTGCCTATGACACTTCTAACTAACTCAATTGCCTGCAACAATCTCAGCACTGGGGAGGCTGAGGTAGGAGGATCACTATAAACTGAAGGCCAGTCTGGGCTAGTGAACTCAAACCAGCCTGAATACACAGGCAGACTTTGTCTAAAAAAAAGCTAGAGTTACTTCTACTCCATACTCTTATTTGTACACTGTATGTAGTCTTGAATTTCTCTTGGTTGTACAACTAGCAGCCCCTCCCTAAAATGTTCTGTGCTTCTAACACCCTTTCCCCACGATGCCTCTTGACACAATTATTGTTTCTATACTCACAGAAAGGTATGTAAAGTGATGAAAAGCCTCAGGGATGTAGATCCACAGCTAAGCACAACCTGAATCACTCTGCTTTTCTTCACTTGGCTGAGTTCCTCTTGGCCTAGGGTTAGTAATTTCTCGCATGGCATAGGCGGCTTAGGACCCAGGGGGCGCCTTTCAGTTGAAAAACACCTCGCGCTGCAGCAAGCTGGCTGGGAAGCTCCCAGTTCTAAAGAGAGCTGTTTACCAGAAGAGCACAAGGGCAGATCTGGCTGCAAGGCTAAGGCTGAGGCTGAGGCTGAGGCTGGAAGGCAAAGCTGCTGCCAGAGGGGACCCCAGGTGGATACTGACTGTTCAATCACCTGCAGGACTGAGGAGGAGAGGATGGTGTTGGGCTGGGCACAGACATTTCTTCTCAGCAGTATGCTTCTAGCAGAAGCCTTCGGATCTGGAGGTGAGATTACAGTCTTTTCCTTCTGCAGCAACTTAATGAAGCCGAACAGATAAAGCCCCTTACCTCCCAAACAAGGCCAGGTGGCAGGAAATGAAGCCTTTAGCTGGTTTTTGTCGTCCAATGAAAGGACCCTCCCCTCTTCCTTGCCAGGGGCTTGCAGCTCCATCTTTGCTATTAAGAACAAAGACAAGTAGCCACTTTCTTTTTCTCCTTCCTTGCTAACAAGTGGATGGAGGTTGGGAAGTCATCTCTACTCCTCATATCCTGTTTTGGGTTTTTTCTACGCCCTTTGCATGGTGTGTCCACAACGCTGGCCCTCCTTCCCTGTGCTCTTCCTATGGCTTTCCTGCTTGCGAGGAGTGGGAGTTTGGAGGCAGATCCAGGCAGTGATGAGACAGGCTCCCACCGTTTGACGCTTTCTTGATTCCTTTTCTGCCTCAAGGCTTCTGTAAAATTCTCCTGGGAGGGAGCATTGCCTGTTAAAAGTCGCAGAAGGTGGTGGCCGTATCCGTGGAGGGGAGAACACCAGAGTTTATGTAACATTGGTATTTCAACACAGGGGTGACTTTCAGGTCTCGCTGCCCACTCCCACCATCTCCATACAAGGGACTCTAAGCCAGGTCTCCTCTACTGCACAAAGCGGCCACAAGTTCAAGCGTAACAATTCCTTGCACTTCCGCAGCGCTTGCTGGCTTGCCCCCCACTTAAAAAAAAAAAAAGAAAAAGAAAAAAAAAAAAGAAAGAAAGAAAAAGAAAGAAACAAGAGGCAGCAGCAAATACAGCACTCTGTGCTGAGGGCTAGGGCTTTAACCGGAGCCTTCCCTGAGGCAGGCAGGCCTGTCCACCGAACAGGGGGCGCCTGCCAACAAGGGCGCCACCAGCGGGGCCTGGGCTCCCACCCGCCCAGCGCCTTCCGTGGGCCGCCCCACTCAGAGCCCGGGTCCGGGGCTCCTTTTCGTCACAGGCTGTTTCTGGGATAACGGACACCTGTACCGGGAAGACCAGTCCTCGCCCGCGCCGGGCCTTCGCTGCCTCAACTGGCTGGACGCGCGGGGCGGCCTGGAGCCTGCCCTCGTGTTGGGTGAGTTTTCGCCGGGGGTGGCGGGCGGCGGCGGTCCCGACCCCAGCTTACGCCTTTTTTCCCCCCTCAGGCGCCGGCAACCACAATTACTGTCGGAATCCGGACCGCGACCCGCGCGGGCCCTGGTGCTACGTGAGCGGCGAGGCCGGCACCCCCGAGAAGGTGCCTTGTCAGGACGCGCGCTGCCCAGGTACCCGCTCAGGACCCAGGGAGACCCTAGGCCGCGGCCTAACTGGAAGCTGCCGGTGACACCCTCCGCGCACGTGCGGCCGCCCGTAGCAGGCCGGACCGCCCCGCCCCCGCTCCATCTGATTCGTCAGGGCTGTCTCCAGGCTGCGGGATCCAAAGCCCATTGGCAGCGCCCGCCGCTCAGGAGTGAGCTCATTCTCCTTGAGCGCTTGTAAACAATCTCGGGAGGCTAGCTGAGTCTTTCCGCCGCGCGCTCCGCGAGGAGTGGCTGTTGGCGCGTCCACGTTGGATGTTTGTTGACCGTTTGTGGTGCGTCTGGTATGCGCTAGACATGCTTCCTACAACCTCTGGGAAGAAGCTGTTTGAGGGACCTAAGACGCGGAGAAGTTAAGCAATTTATCAAAGGCAAAGGCAGGGTCCTGATTTGAATCCTTCTGGTTTGTTAAACTCCCGAAAGCAACTTTGTTGTCGCGTCCTAGGCAAGACGGTTCTCTAGAATTAAATGAGACAAGGCCGGGGATATTGCTCAGCAGCACAGTGCCTGCTTGGAAAGCTTGAGGTCGTGAGTTCGATCCCCGGTACAAAAAAAAAAAAGTTAAATGAGATAATCAAGATTTAAAACAGGGATTTGTACATAGCGTTCAAATACATGTGAGCTGTTCGAATGAATCATGGATTTTGACTGCTGTGGAGGTGAGGGGACCCCTAGAGAAGCAGCCAGCCGAGCTGCGTTTTGGAGGATAGCAAGTTATTTGAAGAGGCCGAGACCTGAGAGGCAAGAGAAAGGCCCTGGCCTGTGATGTGCCCCTTATATTTGCCTTGCACTATAGCTGTGGTGCAGACCTGTCAGATCTGAGTTTGACTTTCCATGCAAGTAGTTTATTCTGATGAAAGCTGTTTACCTCCTCACCTCCAGAAACTACTTCCCAGGCACCCCCAACTTCCACATCACAGTCTGAGGAGACCACTGAAGTGCCAGGTGGCAATGAGGCGCTGGTGTTTGCTCCTGCCAACACCCTGCCCGCCCGGAGCGAGGCGGCGGCTGTGCAGCCAGTGATTGGGATTGGCCAGCGGGTGCGAATGAACTCCAAAGAGAAAAAGGATCTGGGAACTCTGGGTATGGCAGCCCCACCAACTGCCCACGTTGGAATTTACCAAGAGATACTATTTACTCATTGTCCGGGGATGTGTGGCTAATGGGACCTTGTGTCCTATTCTTGGCAGGCTATGTACTGGGTATTACCATGATGGTGATCATCATTGCCATTGGAGCTGGCATCATCTTGGGCTACTCCTACAAGAGGTCAGTAGCTTTTCTTTTAGGCTCTTTTGGGAGGAGGAAGGGATGGATGAAGGAGCACAAAGTCAAATCAAGTCTTTGTGGCTTGAAGGAAGAAAGGTTTTAGGAAGGAAAATCAGCTCAAGATGTAGAGACTTGGTTCTAGTCTTTAGTAGGTGACCTAGGACAAACCTTTTCCATTGGTGCCTTTACTCTTCACTCAAAAGCGTTATGAGATAGGGGTTCTTGTTACTCATTTTAAAGATGATTTGCCAGTGTCATACTACCTACGAGTGACAGAACTTGGATTAAAATCTATCTCTGACAATGCCAAATTCCAAGTTCCTGTCATGTAAGTGAGTGGCTCTGCAGAAATCAGAATGAAAAAAAATCAGACTGAATACTCAAGCAGGGACCTGCAGACTGAATTCCTTCTGTGAATTATTATTATTTTTTTACTAGAAAAGGTTTCTAGCCACTGTTTTTGTAGTTGGGACATACATTTCCTCATTCAGAAGCACTGGGGTCTCCTCTAGGGTAGGAAGAAAAAAATTGAGTTGAAGAGCCTGTTTGTTACTCCTCATCATACATGAGTAAATAAAAGAGACTAGCAGGGAAACTCAGGAATCTGACCTATGGCTGGAACAGCAAGAAAAGGAATAGGTATTTTGAAAGATCTCCGGAGAGCCTATGTAGGAAAGACTCAAAATCAGTGATGCATGTGGTGGCACACGCCTGTAATCCCATCTGCTTGGCATGCCAAGGCAGAAGGGTTACAAGTTCAAGACCAACCTGAAACTTAGTAAAAGCTTCTCTCAAAAACTAAAAAAATAATAAGGGCTCAGAAAGTGATATATGATGATAAGAGTCACAGTCATAGCCGGGCATGGTGACTTATGCCTGTAATCCCAGTACTCAGGAGGCTGAGGTGGGAGGATTGTTACGAGTTCGAGACCAACTTAGGCTATAAAATGAGCTCAAGGCTAGCCTGAACTGCATAGCGAGACCCTGTCTCAAAACAAACAAACAAACAAACAAACAAACAAACAAAAGTCATTTTTTTACAGCACTGGTTGACAAAATTATTTATCACTCTTGGGGGAAATCAAAGGATTTCACTTCTAACCCTGAGGGTCTGCAATGTTTCTCATCTGGTCTGAGAGGCCTTCCTGTAATGAAATTGACCGAGTCGCTTTTCCAGTGGTGAGAACCATTTCTGAGAGCCAGGTTGTTATCATTGAAAGCTCTAAAAAGTGTGCCATCACTGCTTTTAGGGTGTCCATAGAAGTGTTCTGGTCAACCTTCTGTTTTTGCATTTAAGAAAGAGGAAGTATTGGTTAATAATCACAGCAGTAGCAAACATTTGCCTCATGCCAGACACTGAACACCTCACACGCTCCAATCCACTTACCACAGTCACTCTTACGAGATAAAAAGGCTGTTATTATTTCAGAGTACAGATGAAAAATGGAGGCCAGAGAGAATAAGTACCTTGCCTGAAGTTACACTGATTTGGTGGAGAGAAGTCCTACCCAGCCACTAATAGCTGTCTATGGGATTCTGGGCGAATTACTTGTTACTCCAGAGCATTGCTCATAGTTTGTGGCACATAGTAAATAGTAAACAATAGCTGGTTTTTTCTTCTGTAAAATATAGTATTTCTTCTCTGATTTTTCTGTGATTCAGGAAGCAGAAGTCCAGAAAGGAGAAATGGTCATCTGAGAAGGAATCTTGACTTTCAGACAGAGATTGTGGCACAGTGGGATGAGACCCAGGGAAATCAGAGTTAAGAGGAAATGATGTAATGTTCCCTCCATACAATTCAGTCAGACCCAAACAATGTTGGTTGAGTTTAGCCCTTGAACTGTTTCCTTCTGCCTTAGCCATTAGACAACATTAGGCTGTTTTCCAATCTTTTGACAATTTCCAAGTCAGCCAGGTACCTGACATGAATGTTCTTAATTCTTTTCTTTTTTTTTTTAAACGTTTAACTTTTTATCGGTACCAGGGATCGAACTCACGACTGCCTGCTTGCAAGGCAGGTGCTTCTGCCACTGAGCTAAATCCCCAGCCTGAGTGTTCTTAATTCTAAGCTCAATTCTGGTGCCCCATGAGAAAAGCATCTTTTTCTCTGGATTTACTCTTCTAGGCTGTAATAGGACTGTCTTTGGCCTAAATTTACTTTATTATGAACTCGGGAAGACATCAAGTCACCAGACTCCCTGTTACTAACCACCAGACCACACCTTTCCTTAGTAAATGTGCTTTGAGGACAGAATGTACAACAGGAAACCACGTGTGGGCTAGAGACAAAGTCTCAGCTTTCATCTCTCCCCATAGTTAGAGAACTGAGTGTCCTGGTAAGAACTGTAAATTGTGTATAGTTCAACCTTGGTATCCTGTCTGTTAAATGGGAATATGCTTTCCCCCACATCCACCCACCTGAGAAACCATTAAGTATTAAATAGATGCAACTGGATACCAATCAGGTAATGATCACTGTCAGCCAACATTTAATTCATGTTGTCTTAATAAAAACCCTACTGTATGTTCTCACCTAAGCCTCATTACCATCCAAAAAGTACTATTACACTGTTTTACAATGAGAGGATAGGCCTCGAAGTTAAGTACCACACCCAAACCACATAGCCAATAAGGTGTGTTTAAAAGATTAGCTGGGCACAGTAATGCAAGCTTTTAGTCTCAGCACTGAGGGAGCCTGAGGCAGGACAGTTGCAAGTTTGAGTTCAACCTGGGCAACTTAGTGAGACCCTATCTCAAAAATAATAGGGGCTGGGGATTTAGCTCAGCGGCATAAAGCACCTGCCTTGCAAGCAGGCGGTCATGAGTTTGATCCCTGGTACCGATAAAAAGTTAAAAAATAATAATAATAATAAAAAAGATCTTCAGTATCTCCTAAAAGTCCATCAGGGTCTAGAAATTTCATGTACATTTTTTCTGAATTGCAAAGGATACTTTGGAAATAGAAGGACATAAAAACTTTCCCCTATAAATGCCTGGGTTTATTTACCAGAACCAAAATCTACTTCTGGAACTGCTGCCAATTGTGAATGTGATACCAAACAGGTTATTTACCTTCTATGGGCCTCAGTTTCCTCACTGGCAAAATAAAGGCAGGCAGTTATATATTACATTAATCTCAGCTCTAATTTCCTAAAAGAACAGTAGTGCTTGGTGGTGGCTAAAGAGAACTGGGTTCAAGTCCCAGCTATGTATGCCATTTGCTTGAACAGATGATTTAATCTCTCTGCATCTGCCTTCCCATCTCTGAAACAGGTATCAAAAGAGATACAGAGGTTAGTTGTGAAGATGGAATTAATACAGTGTACTCTGGGCATACAGTTGGTATTCATAACCTGTAGCTGTTTTGGGAAACTAGTCCTTGAGCAGCAGGATGGCACAGCACTATGTATGACTAGAATTCAGCAGTAGCTGAGGCTTAATAATGGAGCAAACCTGAGTTGCCTGAAAGTTTGTGGCAGTTTTGTAACCTTGGAGGAGGAAGTTAGAGGCAGCAGCATTATTCATGCCTGTGTCCTCTGGTGAGCCCAGCTCTCTATACTCACCCCAGAGCAGTCAGGCAAATTATTATTATTATAATTATTTTTGGTACTAGGGATTGAACTCATGACGTCATGCTTGCCAGGCAGGTGCTTATGCCTGCTGAGCTAAATCCCCAGCCCCCTTTTATTCATATTATTATTTTGGCTTTTTTTTTTTTTTTTTTTTTTGTGGTACTGGGAATTGAACTCACGACCTCATGCTTGTCAGGCAGGCATTTATGCCACTGAACTAAATCCCCAGCCCTGTTTTGGCTTTTTGCGATAGGGTTTCACAATGCAGTTCCAGCTGACCTTGAGCTCATTTTGTAGCCCAAGCTGGTCTCAAGCTTGCATCAGTCCTTCTACCTTAGCCTCCTGACCTCCTGGGAATACAGGGGTGCGCCACCACACTTGGCTAATCAGGCTAATTATTAAAAGCTTTGAAGCTAGGCCAATGAATGGAGGTTTTTCTTGGCTAGGAATGGTGGACAGACACCAGGCTCCCTCTTAGGGTCTTTGTCTTAGTAGTCTAGTACAGGAGGTTCAGATGACCAGTCTGCTGCTGGGTACCTCCCTGTCCCTGTCTAGTACAATGTCTGCACTAGCTCCAAAAGGTGCTCTTATTTTCTGATAAGCAGGGGAGGGAAAAAAGTAAGTCAACACCACTCTATCCTCTTGGGAGAGGAGCTGAGTCAGTGAATAAGCCTTTTTGTTCTTTCTTAGCTTCTAGACAATAGCCTGGCTGCCTCTAGCCTCCAAGCAGTGAGTGGGGGCTGGGCTGCTCAATGGTCAGTGTAGCAGGTCTGGCAAGCTGCTCTTTAGTCTCCCAAGGGGAACTGGGGCAGCCATTCCATTATCCAGGACTCACAGGCAACAATAGGCATGTGGGATTGAGTATGTTTACAGGTTTCTAAATGGATGAGATTAAGCCAGACTAGCTCTAGCATCTGCTTCTTTTACCTGTGGTTGCTCTTCCAGCCCTCCTCTGCCCCATTAACATGAATTGATTTTTCTTCTTTGAAGACTTGTGTATGATACATCCTGACCATTATCAGAAGCTCAGCAGGCAGTGGCTTAGGAAAAGAGGTAACTGAGGAAACCAGGATTCCAGAGTCTTTTTTGTCATCTATAAATTGGTTGGTGGAATATTATTTTACATGGTTGAACTTTTTTTTTTTTTTTTAAACAAAGTCTCACTATGTAGTCCGGGCTAGGCTTGAACTCTGTAGCTCCAAGCTACCCTCAGATTTGCAGTAATTCTCTTGCCTTGGTCACCGGAGTGCTGGGATTATAGGCGTGTGCCACCATGCCCAGCAAGATTGGAGTTTAAAAAATGGTGCATGTATAAAATGCATGGTATCGAGTAGGAACAGATAGCTCTTTTTATTCTGGATATGATGGAAAGGCTATTTTCTGCTACCCTGGTGGGTACTCAGGAAATTATGAGTTCCTGGCCTCTCCTCTAACTCTAGCTCTTTAAATTTTGAAATTCAGATCATGGCAAAAAGTATTTCTATCTCTTTTGTCAATTGTCTTTTGGTTTTCTACTGGTTTGGAGGCTCCCTTACTACAGTTAAATCCAGATCTTTCAAGCTTTTCCCGATATGGGCAGCCTTAAAAATTTTGCATTTTTATTTTATTGAGGAGGTAGGCCTTTGCTTCTGTGTGATAGCAGCCCATAACTGATGAACCAGTTATCCTCAGGATGTAAATGGGGAGCACTTAGTGTAGATAACCCCTCTTTCTTGACTTCTATTTCCCCTCTGGGTGCTCTGCTACAGGAGTTAATGGTATCCAGTACAGAAACTGATGAGAAGGATGGGACAGGAACTCAGCTTGCATATTCAGAAACTTAGTCTCCCAAGATGACTTGGGAGAATATCTCATGGTAGGGATCTTGCAGAACATCAGAGGCTCTGGAGATTATCATGGTAACTCTTATTTTACAGATGATGAAATTAAAGTCCACAGAGTAGCAGGTTATACAAACAGTACCCACCTTGGGTGATCAGTAAGAAAGTTCCTTCGAAAACTAGATTAAGATAATTTGCTTGATGAGTCCAGTCATATTCAAAGCAAATCATAATTACTTCCTATGAGATTTTTAATGCAGAAATTTCAGTATTTTCAAAATGCTTTCACTTTCATTATTTTGAGACAGATGGGGAAATGAAGACTCAGAGAGGCTCTTTAACAGGGTGACATAGCTAAAGCTGAGCTGGTATTACATATAACACAAGTAAAGAGAAGTGGGTAATTTGAAGATGGTTCTGAAGCTCCTGTGCATTCTCTTCCTCTAGCCTTTTCCCTTTCCCCCAATTCTTTTCCTGGTCCCAGAAAGCTTTTGTCATTGTACCTCACATTAGTACGTGTAATCTGTGATTACAGCTATGTTCCTGATGACGTCTGAAGCAGACTCCTGTTTGTTGTTTCACCAAGTTATGCATTAGCTGTTTGTTTCAAGCATTTCCTCTGTCAACTGAGTTCAGTTGCTGGCTTCAGTGAATGCTGACCTAGGTCCTTGGATGTTGGACATTCACCAAATCCTCTGGTTGGCTCTGGGATACAGGAAGGGCCCTTCATGTGCGTCTAGAAAGACTAGGTTTGAGTCCCTGCCTCACCTGTCTTTCAGATGACTTACTACTGATCAGAACTTCTCTGAGCAGTAGCCAGGACTCACAGACATAGGTTTCAGCCCACAATATTCTAGGAGCATTTTAAAATTTCTCTGGGCCATTTCCTTGTCTAAAAAGTGAGTAACTTAATTGTTACAGCTGAGCAGAGAATAAAGTGAGATAATGTATAAGTCCTTAGCACAGAGTGAGCACTCCACATGAGTAAAAGAGAGTAATGTCAAGGTCTGATTGAGTCACTGAACATTGAAAGGCATATGACAAGTGTGAATTCTGATCATTCTCATTGTTCCTTTTGTCCTGAGAAGCTCTCAGTCCATTTTGCCCTCTGCATTGGTTTGGAAATTCATTGACATTTTGGGGTCACACATACCAGAGTTCTAGTTTAAAAAGGATATCTTGCTGGGTGTGGTAGTCCTTTAATCCCAGAACTGTGGGAAGCTAAGACAGAAGAGTCACAAATTTGAGCCCATTTTGGGTAATTTAGCAAGGATTCTCAAAATTAAAACTGGTTATGTTGGTGCATTTCTAATCCTAGCATTCAGGAGGCTGAGGCAGAAAGATTGCTGGGTTTGAGCTACATATTGAATTAAGGGCAACCTGAACTGTTTGATGAGATCTTATCTCCAGATAAATAAAAGGTTTGGGGCGCTAGGTGGGATGGTACATTCCTGGGGGAGGCTGAGGCAGGAGGATTGTAAATTTAAGCCCAGCCCGAGTAATTTAGCAGATTACCAAAACTGTCTCAAAAAGGTGTGCTGAAGGATAATCCCTCAGTCACACACACACAGCTCTCCTATAGCACAAAGATTAAATCAGTTTTCTAGGACCACTTTATGGTTTAGGGCTGAAGCTAGAATAGCTGATTTTTGGTCTTTTTAGAACTGGGCTAAAAGAGCAAACTATCTTTCCATTATCTCCACTGACCCCTACTACTGCTGTGGGAGGCTCATATTGCTGTCACTCCCACTTTACATCCGAGGGAAGCACATCTACAAGGTTAAGGCGTTGTGACAGAATGGAAATGTAATACTATGCTAGTCCTGGCTAAGCCAATAAATCACTGTGATTAGGGCCCCTCAGGGGTGCTATCATATGAGTGAAGTCATACAGGAGACATAGCTGAATACTTGCCTCTTTTTCTCCTAGGGGGAAGGACTTGAAAGAGCAGCATGAGCAGAAAGTGTGTAAGAGGGAGATGCATCAAAGCACGCTGCCCATGTCTTCCTATACCAACCCTGCCTATGCCAACACTTCCTTTGAGACGGTGGATGAAAGGACTGTAGTGGTCCACAGCAACCAGCCTCCTGTTGACCTTCAGGAAGGCAGCATGCCCCTCATGGGCCAAGCTGGCACCCCTGGGGCCTGAGCTTCAGTGGGCAGGAGCCAGTACAAAAACTGGAGCAGGACAGCCCACCTCCCTGGGAGGACCTGCATTTTGTTTTGCGGCTAACTCCCCTTCCCTTTTTGGTAAATCCTCATGAAAGAAGCAGGCAGCATGGTGGGCTGAGGGCTGGGTAGGATCCTATTAATGCTCCCAATGCTCCTTCTCCATCCCTGGGAGGATTTTGCCTGTGGATGGACACAGTGGCACAACTCTCACACTGGTGTTGCTGACAAGGTCTTCCAAATACTGTTTGTGTTCCTGGAACTGGACAGGGATAGACAGGCAGCTTCCCCAAGGCTCCTCTGTGCTTTAGTAAGGTGGCCTCAGCCTTTGCCTTTCCATTTGTTCTCCATGAGCTTGAGTGGCATATACTGTTATTCATAGTTAAGGTTAAGCAGGTCAAGAGATGGCACTGAAAAAAATGTGTATTTAGTTTTTCAGTATTAGGGATGGAACTCCCTATTGACTTTTCAGAACCAGAAATGAGTTTGTCACAAGTCAGAACTTTGGGCAGAGAATGGGATCTAAGTTGGGGCCTGCTGGGTGTGCTCGTTTGTTGGCAGTGATGTGCCTTGACAACCGTGGGCTGGACTGGGCCCAGGGACTCTTCCTGTGTTGTAGGAAGAGAAAAATTGCACTAAACATTCCATTTAGGAAGAGGGTAGAGAAGGATATACTCCTGCCTTAGGCCTCAGGGACAGAGGTGGACCTGGGGTGCCCCAGACTATCTCTCTTTTGGGGTGGTGACCTCTCTCCATTTTGTACAAGTAAGAAAGGAACCAGTTAACCCATGGGATTGATACACTGTAGGCTCATTGAGTTGATTTTAGGTCAACTTGCATACTGAGCTCAGAGGCAAGATAATAAAGCACTTCAGGACTTGCCCCTGCAGTGTACCCTACTTGCAAGTGGCCCTGTGGTTTCCAGGTCAACATCTTCCTATGGGGCAGTGGAGCTGATGTTATAACCCTTAACTTGTGAAACAATCATAGAACCATTGGAATGGATGCTAAAGTTCTTCAAAATTTTTGGACACAGGAACCCAGAGAGGTAAAATGGCTTGCCCAAGGTCATAGAACAAGTTACTGGCATGGCTAGTAGGTGAGCCCTAAGCTTCCTGATTGAACAGTTCTTCCATAGCACTTGAAGCTCAGCAGGCCCTCTAGGCCCTGATGTCCTATGTGGTGGCCTTGGCAACATTCCTTGGCCAGAGATTCCTTGTTAAACATCCTTCCACTATCCAGTGTGGACAAGGGATAAATGGAGCCCATTCTGTTTAGGAGGGGGTTCCCTAGGACCACTTGCTGAGGGTACCTAGGCCTCAGAGGGTCCCTTGGTGTTAGTGACTCTGGAGAAGAGAACATTACTGGTTTCTATTTTTCTATAAGTATTTCTCTGTATACATGTTTTATATACCTCATTCTGACACCTGTGTATAAAGTATGGGAAATTGCTGTGTATTTGACATATAAAAGTAAAACAAAACGAACCTCCGTTTTATCAAGTTTTTGTGGGTTGCTAAGAACACTCTCCTCATGCTCTGGGAAGCTCTGGGTTATCTTTGTCAACATCTGTGCAATGAGCTGTTGCCTTCTTGCTCACCCTGGCTCTATAAATGGAAGGCAACAGTAGAATGGTTGAGAAGCGCAACCTGTGTCCTGATTGTCATCATCACCAGGAATCTTTCACGTTGCAGCTCCAGCAAGGATGGGTATCCCAAGAAGGGAGTAGTTTGGGACTGCAAGTCGTTTCCCTTTCAGCATTCTTTCCAAGCTAAGGAGTTAAAATGAATAACAGATAGCCCTTGTTAGGGGCTAAGGGTGGTGCCTGTAGCAGCCAGAGGGATGGAATACTGATGGGGATGGGTCACTGAGCTGCCTGGAGCAGCCATTGCCTGAGGAAGGTCCCCATGGATGATTCCTAGGGCTCTAGAAGTAAAGCTAACAATGGGAGCATTTCTTCAAGTTTTTAGCATAACTTAGGCAACAAGTTATACCAGAGTGACCTGCACATGTCCAGATACTGCTCTGTAGCTCTGCTGCAGTGGATACCTTAGATCATGTTTTCTCAGAAACCAGGTTCTACCCTTTAGTTAGACTTTCAAGTTTTGTGAGTGCTTGGCAAAATTTACCTTTGGATTTATGGATTTATATTGTGCCCAGAACCCCACCAACTAGATAGCATCAACTTCCAGAGTACCTTTCATGTGCAGAAACAAGAAACAGGAATTGCTTTCTCAAGCTGTTCCTACACATAGGGTGGGATGACTTGCATTCCATAAGCAGCTCTGTGGAGAGAAGGCCAGAACACCCAGTCTGTAGAAGGGTTCCTATGTTAAAGATGGGAGTGGAGGCCTCCTGAGGATTTGCCTGCAGATGGAAGTTAGGCCCAGTAGCTTTATGGAGCCCAGATGAGGTGTGCATGCTCTCTGAACAGGCTGAAGACTGCATAAGGACAGGGATTAGGTTGATATGCAAGAATCCTGCTGTTGTGTGTTCTGGACATGAAGGTAGCAAACAGACCCTCGACATTTCTCTCCCCGACTCAGGCCCCAAGTCACTTTTCCACTCTCAGTATTGTTATGTTAACTGCTTAATTTATTTAGTCTGCTCAGTGACCCAGCTCAGGCCCACTACTCCCACAGTTGCTGGGGACAGCTGAAGCACAGCCAGGCACATGATGCTGAACCATGCTGTTGCTGGGAGTCCACGATTCAACTCTATAACAAGCTTGCAACTCCACACTTAAGTATAGTATACACAGCAAGCAAGTTCTGGCCAGAGGTGACATTCTATCCCACAACTCATCTGGTCTATGTACAGTAATTCACAAATCACCCAATAGATATAATAACAAGTAATATTAACAGCAACCATTCTCCTGGATTCCCCACCCCCCAACCACCACACATTACATTTATATACCCCAAACCCATTCCCCATTTGTTAAATATGTTGCAAGCTCACACTTAGGAGGCAAATCTCGTGCCGTAGAGTCCTTGGAAGTCTGGCAGCCTAGGTGGAGTGTGTCCCCAGGGCCTTCCAGTGCCCATGGCCCTGGAATATGGCTCAGGAAGTTGAGTTGGGCCAGCCAATAAGGGAAGGTAGAGGGTACAAGTCAGATAGCCCAGCTCAGGGCCTATCTCTCTCAGCCTTTTAGCTCTGGGACTCTACAACCACCTCTTCCCAATCTAAATCACTGTCCAGACCAGGCAGGCTGAGGCTAGGCAGTGGTTGTCATAAAGATGAGATCAAGAGATTATAGAAATTCTCTTCTTCCTCAGACCCTGGACCTGTCAAAAGCCATACTGTCCTTCAGAACCCATCTATCTCCAGGCAAAGTGTCTTGGGCTTTTGACTGAGGAGACCATCAGGGTGAGTGAGAGCATTGAAAGGATATGGGATTACTATAGGGTAGAGCCTTTCTCACCAGCTTCTAGCTTCTTACTGTGCTATGACTGCTTGTTGAGACAGAGGATGTCACTCAGCCAGTCTCCAGTAGTATAGTTTGAAAACATGAGATGGAAGCTCCCTTCACATTAATGTGGTCCCTAGACTAGCTAAAGCCACCCACTAGCAAGTGAACAGAAACCAACCCTTCCCTGATTCCTGGCCAGTTCCACTGTATACTGACTAAGACTCCTCAAACTGACTCCCTCACTCTGCTCCAGGGAGGGCAGGACCTGGAGTGGAAGAGGGGAACATCACTGTCACTTTGTGCCCTTCAACTGCCACTGGCCACCAATCTTTTTCTTGTTTGTACTCCCACTTGAAGTCCTCTTCCACACAACTGGACTGGAGGCTTCAGAGCCCACAGGGAGGTTTACCCTGGAATCCTGCTCAGCAGGTCTAAATCATATTTAGTAAGTAAAAGTTTCCAAGGATCCACAACCAGGGAGTTCACAAGTGGTTCCAAGTAACAGATTCTTCCTAGCCCAGAGTCCAGGCTTTTTTTTTTTTTTTTAAAATCTTCACAGCTTTCAGGCGAGTGTTGGATTTTTAGACAGCAACCAGGCCCCAAAACCTGTGGAGATATGTTTCCCTGGTGCTGTGCCCGCTCGCCTCCTCAGGAGGTAGTAGAGATGGCTTGTTCTGCCTCTCAACAAGCCACCAATCCACAGGAAACCTGGATGGCCCTGGGATGGGGTGCAGAGGGGGCAATGCTGGCTGTAGAACACCCCCCTGCAGGGGGCTGGACCAGGGTTAGGGGGGTGAGTCCCGGGTCAGGCCATACTGCATGCTCACAGTGTGGTCCAGCTCCTCCAGCTCTGTAGGCAGTGGGATGCCCAGCTCTCCCAGGTATAAAGAGAGCGCCTCAAAGGAGTCCTCCAGTTTTGAGAATGTTGGTCTGGAAGGAAAAGAGGTGAACCAAGTCAGGTGGAATATGAGCATTTCTACGGAGGAGAATGGAAGGGATCTCTCTAACATAGGCAGATAGATCCCTTTTGTGCCTCTTTGGGAAATGGGTATAATACAGTTACTATTACTTTACCATACAGACACAAAGCTCAAAGATAATGCTGAGAAGCCTGTCCTGGCTGGAGGCGACAAATTTAAAAGATGTAGTTGGGTGTGGTGGCCCTTGCCTGTAATCCCATAATCCCAGCACTTGGGAGACTGAGGTAGAAAGATCACTGCGAGTTTGTTGCTTGCCTGGATTACATTGAGCTCAAGGCCAGCCTGAACTACAAAGTGAAAGAAAAAAAGTCCCAAGAGAAGACTTCTCCCCATATTTTAGAGAAAACACAATAGTCAAAGGCTTTCTATTTATCCAAGAAAACTTATTTTTGTGGTGCTGGGAATTGAACCCAGAGCTGTAAACAGGCTAAGTGTCTTTTTAAAGACCCTTTCCAGTTTTGAGACTTGCTGTTTCTACACAGATGGATCTGCCTGGGAAAGAGCATTTCACAGGCTAAGTTCTTCTCAAAAAGAAAAATACCAACCAAACAAAAACTCAAACACTAGCCTCCTAGTGCCATGGAAATGGCTTGACAGCCTTGGACATCGCAGGCTTATTCTTCCTTCTTATTCTTGTTTAAAGGTCATGTCATCTTGGTAAGGCCTTTTTTGACAAATTACAAGGATTTTCAAAAGTCTACTTCAGAGTTAAAATTTGCTGGTGAGAGAATCTTTATCTTGATTTTTATAGGCCAGAAGACTGCAGTCCTTCAGTAACACCAGTTAAAGAACTTAAGAAAAACAAACTATATAGTATTTGTTTGCTAATAGACCCTCCCTATATACTTTTTTGACAGAGGATCTCTCTGCACAGTTCAGGCTGGTCTTGAACTCACTATGTAGCCCAGGCTGAACTGGAACTCACATGAACTAACATCCATCCTCCTGCCCAGCCTCCCGAGTACTGGGTGTATAGCATGTACCTCCCACACTTTGCCCTTCTTTTTTTTTTCTTTGTATCCTCCCCACCTTTTTTTATTTTGGTATCCGAGATGGAACTCACAACCTTGTGATTGTAAGGCAGGTGCTTATGCCACTGAGCTAAATCCCTGGTCCACTCCCCCCCCCTTTTAAAATCCCCTTTCAGTCATTCTAAATGTGTGTGTACAATAAAAAATGATATACTATGAGATACTAACCTGCTCTCAGGCTCCAGTCTGCAGCAGATAGCGGCTAGGGGGAAAAAGGCTGGGGGGCAGTCTGTGGGGACAAATTTCTCCCAGAAGAGCTTCACGTTGAGGCCAAAATCCAGTGTGCGGGGCAGGCAATCAGGATCTGCATACACTTGTCCAATGATCTACAGATGAAAATATGGTTTACATCTAAAGTGTCTCCCAAAAGTTTCATGTTTGGAGATAGGGCCTAATTGGAGAAGATGTGTCATTGAGTGCATGACTTAGAAGGGTGTATTTTTATCGCTGGCTCCTTCCTTTGTCTCTGCATCTTAGACATCATGATATGAGTAGTTTTCCTCCACCAGGTCCTTGCAACATGCTGTTTCTTTCTTGGCCTGCTAACCATGGACTGAACCCATTCAAATCATGAGTCAAAATAAACATCTCTTCCTTTGAATTGCAGATATTGGATATTTTGTTGCAGAGACAGAAAAGCTGACTAATACAAATATGCAGAAGAGGGAGTGGTAAGAACCTAGATTAGAGGGCGGGGATTTAGCTCAGGGGCACAAGTGCCTGCCTGCTAAGTGCTAGGTCATAAGTTTGATCCCTGGTACCAACAAACAAATAAACCTACCTAGAGTAGATAGACAGCTGTCTCTCATCCCTGTATTTCCAAATCTTGCTAACCCTCTTGACTGAGAGTCTGATTAGTGAGGAAGGTTTAAAAAAGGCCTCAAGGGTCGGGGGAGAAGGGGACATAAAAAGAATTAAGATGTGTTACACACATGTACCAACTTTCCACTGTGAATGTAATCATATGTACTGCAAACATATAATAATTTTTTAAAAAAGGGGCCTCACTTCAGCAGAAGCACAATGACATCTGTAGGCTGGCAGCTTCCACTCATCCTACC